GAATCAATAACGAATTATAGCATTGTGGCACTTTTAATAGTATGATATACGTAAGATCAAAAAATGATTAAAAGTTATATTTATGAAGTTAAATAATATTTTTTTTTGCAAATATTGTAGCCTAATGGAATGATAGCATTGTAGCACTTTTAATGGTATGATATACATAAGATAAAAAGATGGTTAAAAGTTATATTTATGAAATTAAACAATATTTATTTATTTATTTTTGCAAATATTGTAGCCTAATGGACTCATTGGTATTTAGCTGAAACCTGTCCATTTTTTTTTTTTTTTGTTGACTGAACAATTCTTATTCTATACTTATTCCTACTTCACATTAGAGCGATGGGGTGGACTCAAAACGATCAATGGAGCACCAGAGGGGACTGAATTGTCACGGAACTAGATAGGTGCTTATGTATCGATTGATGAAATTTTCAAGAAATCCCGAAGAAAAATGTAAATAAAGAAATTCGATCTCTTAACCTACAACCAAGAAAAGTTTTAACCCTATCTTTGGTGGCCAAATATTCTAGTAGTAGTTGGTTGAGTTGAAATCCTTTCCTACTTGAAAAGTCTCCTGTTCTCCTATATCGAAGAAGAATGTTATGGATTGATCATCTCTCCCAACTTTGCTTGAAAGAAAGTGACGAAAATAAAGTTTTTGTACAAATACTTAATTTAACAGCTTTAGTAAGTTTTACCAAGTCAATAGTCAGTGCCAAGTTCAATTGTTGACAACTCTAGTTGTTAGAATTGTATGACATTTTTGTTAAAACTTCAATGGCAGCGTAGGAGAATTAGAGAAGAGAAAAATTATAATACGACCACAATATTGAATACAATTGTCTAATTTAAAATTTTGGAAAGAGGATGACTAATTTACTCAACACTGATGAAAATTTCATAAAATATACTCCTATAAATTGGGCAAAGTGCCTTGTACTTGGCTGGCTCCTTCCCTGCCCAAAACTTTCTTGATTCCTTGTTATGTAAATATTTGATGGGCACGCACATCTCACGGATCTAGAATTAATACAAATACGTTGTTTCATTTGTATTAAGTATCTACTTTTATATAAAAGCCTTTAACAATAAGATCATCATCCAGATTTTACTGTCATGATTTGTTTATGAACCCAAAGCATCGGTGGCTAACAAACCACTGGATTAAGCAATTTCGCAGAGATAACAAAAAATGATTACTTGAAGAGGAAAAGTAACAAGAGTTCTAAGTTCTCTCTATCAAATGTCTAGCTAAAAAAGGGTAGGAAATCTTACAAGTATGGTCTCTAGACATACTTTTACTCCCTGTAAAAGATGAAGAAAACATACGATCAAGACTTGTCACATTCTGATACGTCAAAAGGATGAAATGCCATCTTTTAAGAAGTGCAAGAAAATTGAAAACCAGATTCTTTCGCAATCACAACACATGTTAAGCACCAAATAAACATAAAAATCTTCAAGAGCAAAAGATAAGCTATGTGGCATAGGGTAAACATTCAACAACAAATAACAGTGCAGAACAACACCCTGTTTTCATGCCAATTACATGACTCAAGCATATTAGAATGCAAACTTCGAGTTCTTGGGGAGAGAAGTGCTGCGTTATCACTTTTGTGCACCACATACCTCCTGAGCTCTTCTTCTTCAGCAGCAATGGAAAACAACACGAAGCTGATGTTTGAGCGCCATCATTCCTTGCATTGCTAATCTGCAAGGTTACAATACAGTAATCCAGCTCACTGAACAGAAAATCAAGGCAATTGTGTCGTATAAACTTTTCAAACTTGTGAAAGATGATAAACAATTATCCAACATTTTTGTCATTGAAAAGAAAAAAACATTATTCTCATTGATATGAAGCATGCAGTGTCAATAATAAGGGGAGAATGTTCACAGCACTCTAGTTCCTCCACATACATATTTGAAGTTCAAATAGACTGATCTAATTTTATGGCAATAAGTACACAGAGTCCCACAGAACAGCAAATTGTATCATGAATTTTCTTTGAAAATCGTTTCTCGATTAGCTTTAATGTTATCCGTTGAGACTGGCAATATCAGTGATGGAAAAATGAAGAATGAGTCCATGTACATCTAGCATTGTAAATCACATGAAACATTTTGTAGCACATTCAAACAAAGAGGCTAATTGGGTATGAACCGTAGCTAATAATTTTGTCCTTGGCCAGATAGAATGTAACAAGTTGAAGTTAAAGAGATTTAAGATGTTCAAATCTTTCAGTAGTTCAGAGAGGCAGAGAAAACACAGGATTTTGGTCTCTTTCAATTTGTTCACCAATCAGCATGCTACACCAAAGGGAAAAAAAAGTTTTGGTAATTGATTTATGAAATATATATCAAGAATGCAGATAAAAAACTATCAAAACTGCCCTGAAGATGAACAAGCTAAATTATTACCTTTCTTTCTGCAGCCCGAGCAGGAGATGAGTAAAAGCTTATGTTTGGGAAACCTGGGGAGAACCACCTACTGGTGAAGCCTCCATCAAAGCTAGCGCTCTCTGATGTGCAAAATTCTCATCATTGATTACTAACTTCATCTTCAAACCTGTCTAGTCAGTGAAAATAACTTCTGCCCCCTGGCAATCTTGTAAGAAATGCAACAGCAAAGGGTGGTGTCTTTGTCCAGCAACATGAGGTCTGCTTTCTAAGACTCTGGAAAATACCATCATAATGTTACATTTCAGCATGAATTCAGTTATGACAGCTAAGGAACGCAAAGAAAAGGCATGGTCTAGTATTCAGTACAAGAAAATGGAAAAAACCAGCTTCTTTCACAATCAAATGACGTGTTAAGCACCTAGTAAATGTACAATCTTAAAGATTAAAAACTAAGCTATATAGCATAGGACAAATGTTCAAAAGTACATGAAAGTGCAGAAAAACACCCTATTTTCACTCAAGCATACTTTGATAAAAAATTGCTCCAATTCCCTTGTGTTTTTAATAAATTGGGCGGAGGTTGAAAAGAGTTCTTGGCGAGAGAAGCTGATGCTTGAGAACCATCATACCTCCTGGTTTCTCCTCCTTCAGCAACGATGGGAAACAACATGAAACTGATGTTTGAGCACCATTATTGCTTTCTTATTCGCTGTCACTGCTTGTCTACAAGGTAACAATATAGTAATTCAGCTCACAGAACAAAAAAACAAGGTAATTGTGATGAAGAAACTTCTCAAACTTATGAAAGATGATAAACAATGATCCCATATTATTGTCATTCTTATGAAGCATGCATCAGCAATTGTAAGGGGTGAAGGTTTGGAGCACTCTAGTTCCTCAACAAACATATTTGAACTTCAAGGAGACTGATATAATTTTATGGCAATAAGAACATAGAGTCCCAAAGAATAGCAAAATTTCTTCACAACTGTTTCTTGATTAGCTTTAATGTTGTCCATTTAGACTGGCAATATCACTGACAGAAAAATGACGAATGCGTCAATGTACATCTAGCATTGCACATCAAATGAAACACTTTCCAACACATTCAAACAAAGAGGCTAATTGTGTATGCACCGTTGCTAATAATTTTGTCCTTGGCCAAATAGAAGGTAACAAGTTGAGTTTTTAAGATGTTCAAAATCTTTCAATGGCGAGATGCAGAGAAAATCCAGAATTTTGGTCTCTTCCAATTTGCTCAAAACCAGGCTTTGTTAAAACTAATCTTTGAAAAGAAACCAAGGTTTGCCCAAAAGAAGAGAATTAATTACAGAGAATAACTTTGCAGAAAAGAGATGGAGAAAAAGAGTACAAGAGACTGAAGAGCAAATATATGTCAATGAGATGCAGATACAAAAAATTTATACACATATATATGTGTGTGAACTTTAGATAGGAAAATCTCACAGGATCACTTGAAATCTCCTCCTCCAAGTAGATGCCTCTTTGGGGAGTGTATCGTTGTCTTAATAGAGGACACCTATAAACTCGAACACGAGTTAACTTTGTGAGTCGTCTCATGGCGGCCTCGGGTGGTAAAGACTGAAGCTTGTCGCAATCCCATAGCTGTAGGCTTTCAAGGGACACAAGGTTTCCAATCCAATCCGGTAGCACTTCTATTCCTCCAAAGTTCTCCAGCCTTAGTGAAGTGAGGGTAGCCAAGTATTGAAGCTGGTGTGGCAACCCTCGTATGCGAAGCTCACGGAGTGTTGATGCAGATCTTAAACCAGACCAATCAAAATCATCGATTGAGGAATCATCTGAGGAGAAGGGAATGTTGATGCTCAATTCTCTTAAGCTGGTGGCAAAAGCAAATCCTTTGAAACTACGAGGGATCAATTTGGGACAGTTGTCTAAGACGAATTTCTCGAGAGAAGGCGTCTCCTGCAAATTAAGCGAAAACGACACCAGATTGGGGCACCTCATCACCTCCAGGGACCGCAGAGACCGGCATGACTGGAACATTTTGTCGGATATGGTGGTCAACCCTTCGCAATCATCAATACTCAATTCCTCAAGGCATGGTAGGGGGCATTTCTGTCCATTTACTCCCAGACTAATTAATCTTGGGCAACTTGCGATGGTCAATCGCTGCAAACTCGATCCAAACAGATCCAGATCTGGCAGCTCCCTAAGATTGTCGCAAAAAAGGATTCTCAACTCCTCAACAGAAGCAGTGCCGTAACCCGTTTTTATACTTGTTAGATTGCAGCAACTCCTCACGCGTAGAATTTTGCACGAGCATGGAAGAGCGGTCAGCTGGGGGCAACTTTCAATGCGAAAATACCTCAGCATGGGAAAGACATCTGCTTCTGCTTCACCTACTGTTGACCTCACTTGGTCTGCACCTTTCCACTCTACCAAATTCCCCATAACTATTACCCAGAGGCTTTCAAGGGCAGGAAAGAATTTGCGTCTTCTAGTGCCGCTCCCTGATGCTCGTGATCTGCCCTCCTCCTCATTAGCAGTAATACCGTAGAATTCATCTCCAATAAATCGAATGTTGTCCAATCTTATCAAAGAGAGACGTTTGAGGGATGGCAGTTGTCCTAATGAGGGGAGTTCACTGCATCTCTTGCAATCTTGTATCCACAACTCCACCAATTTTGACAAATTCACAAACCATTGTGAAAATTTATTACCCATAAAATATTGAATTTTCAACGTTTTCAAATTTGGGTGAGGTTGGAGACCTTCCAACACATCCTCATCACGGTTATCGCTTTCCCGATCCCCACTCTCCCATTCAAACACCAAGCAGGACAGATCTGGCTTTTCGAACAATTTTGCTTGTTTAGCTGCTTCTTTGCCCTTCACTAGTCCAAGATTTCTTATCTCCAACGATCCTTTCAGATATTTCAAGGTCCCAAGCTCTTCGATACCACGACCCCTCTCTTGACTTATATTAAAGAACTGTAGAGTTTGAAGACAAGTCAATCGTCCCCATCTGCACCGGCATTTTAAATTCCGCATCAGCATGGTCGTAGTTTAGATGCCGCAAGCTAATCAAATCGCTCATCCGTTTTGGAAAACCTCCTTCAAGTGCATAATCTCTCATTGTTAGTGTCTGCAGATTATATAGCTTGCAAAGAGATTCCGGCAAACTTCTGATTCTAGAAGATGAAATGTCGAGCAACCGCAAATGTAGTAGTTTGCCAATGGAGCTCGGTAGAGACTCGACATCATCGCCAGACAATCTGAGAACATGCAAGTGCTTGAATCTTAAAAGCATGTCAGTAGATACGCCACCCTTTAGATGGAGAAATAATGTGCGAATTGATGCTGGTATTGTCCTCATGGTATTTTCTTCCAAACCTTTAGAAGAGTCCAATACAAGGTAGCGATCCTGATTGCTGCTTTCTGGATTAAGAATTGGTTTTGCAAAATCATGGACGAGATCGTGCATTTTATAGTATGTTCTCTGCGACTCTGCGACTTTTTCCAGCAAGGAATTTTGCAACAAAATCCTCAAATACTCGCCTCCTGTTTCCTCCATCACTCTATTATTTTTCTGATCCGGTAGAACAAAACCTTCGGCAACCCAATGCTCAATTAGTTCATCTTCTTCTAATTCATTGTCCTGGGGAAAAATCGAGCAATATGCAAAACATTTCTTAACTGATGCAGGTGATAAATGATCAAAGCTCACCTTAAGTATTTGATTAATTTGGCTTTGATATTCATTCAAAAGACTCTCTTCCACAATGAGACCCTCTTCCACAATAGATTGCCACTCCTCTTTTCCACTGTTAAGCAACAAACCTCCAATTAACTTTGCTGCTAGTGGGAGGCCATCGCATCTCCTTAAAATTTGCTTCTTCAATACTTCCAATTCTTTTGGTACTTCTTCCCCTGCGAGCACCTTTCTTTTTATGATGGACCAACACTCATCACCTGATAGCTTTCCTAAGGAATAAGGACCATCATTCATTTGCAAATGTCTAGGCACAGCATTAGCCACTGATTCTCGACGAGTAGTGAGAAGACACCAGCTTCCTTTGGTTTCGTTGAGTCCCATCAAAGTGTTGAAATAGTCATCCCACAATCCTTGATCATGATCCCACACATCATCAAGAACAAGGAAATATCTTTGTCCCTTGAGCTTTTCTCCAATTTTTTTAACGATAACCTCTCTGTCATCCACTTCAACCTTTGTTCTTGTCAACGATTTTAAAATCAATTTAAACAGCTCCACTATATCAATTTTTCTAGCCACACAAACCCAACTCTTTATGCCAAAATTCTCATCAATTTCTATTTTGTTGTAGACTGATTTAGCAAGAGTTGTTTTACCCAGGCCACCCATGCCTGTTATGGGAATAACTGAGACAACTCTTTCAGATGGGGTCAATAGCATCTCCACTATCTTTGACTCGTCGCCGGATCTTCCTACAACGTTTGGAACAATGATAGAGTCGGTCTGTCTGCTTGTCGTGGCACCAGCGGCATCAGCAGGGAGTGCAGCTTCAATTTGGTACTTGATTACCAATCCCAAGTCATTGGCTTGCTGGTTGATCCTTTCTAGGTTGGTGTTGATGTCCCGGATCTTTGAAGCCAAGCTGGAACTAAAGCCAATTGCATTAAAGAAGGAGAAGAAGAAGCATACCTTCTTCTTGGTGAGTTGATTTCGGTACTTCACCTCCCGACGAAGATTGTCGTAGTTGAGCTCGTCCAGCACGGTATCAGCTTTAAAAACCTCATCCTCTAGCTTCTTGAGCCAATCTCGCACCCCTGGGCTATGCATTTTCCCGTCAGCATCAGCCAAGAGACCTCGGATCGTTGCAGCAGTGTTGCTTAGTCTCTCCAACTCTGCTTTGACCCCGAGAACCATACCAACACGGTCCGTGGCAATGGAAATGACCGTCTCCAAGACGACCTTAACAGTAGCACTGATAGCAGCGTCAGCCATTGTTTCTTGCTTGGAATTGGAACTAGGATCGAAAGGTTTTCTGATAGAAGAGATGGAAGGAATGTTTCAGCAACAAATGGCAGAAATCAGAATAGAAGCCAGTCAGAACAAGAGAGAGATGATTAAACGATTCCAGTGGGCTGATGTATAAGAGAGATTCAGATTAGTATAATTGTGATTAATCAAATTGCGTGGGGTCACCTCAAAATAATTTTAGCGCAATCTGATTTAGTCACTGATGGGGGCCTTAGTTGTGGAAGAAATTAAACCACTGTGGTCGGATGAAAAGAAAATTGGAACTCATAAATTGTAGTAATCTGAGTAGGTGGTGAAACTTTTATAAGACAGTTCCTCAATTAGGGAATTAAGGTAGCGAAAATTAATGGGACCAAAAAGTTTATATAGCAAATCAATAAACAAAAACAGACCCCTCTTTTTAAACCACTTAATTTGCTTAGTGTCTAGCGGATGGTCACCTTAGTGTCTTGATAGTGAGGCTTGTGATCTCAAATTACTTGTTTTCGTTAAATAATGAAATCTTGAGATTCTTTGTCCAAGTTGTAGAACTGTTGATAATTAAATCTTTTAAATTTTCCGCAACCTTGAATTTTTAGTCCGCAACCTTCAAAATAATTTTATCGTAAAAGTATGCAAAACTCAAAAGAGTTAACTCATTAAAGGCTCACAAGTCACAACTGGAGACCTAGATCTGAAGTGCCGCCCTCATTAATCAATTTATTCTATTTTATCTCTCTTGTTAATTTATTCCTCGAAAATGGGTCAATGGTGGAGCTATGGGTGCAAATGACTCGAGCCGATCGCGAGTGGCGCGAGTCCGAACTCGACTCGAGTTCGACCTAATCAAATCGAACTCGAGCTCGAATTCGATATTAAAAATACTAAGTTCGTTTCGATATCGAAAATATTAAGTTCGTTAACTCGCAAGCTAGCTCGAACTTGATTATATATATATATATATATATATTTTTTATTTTTATTTTAATAGTAAAATTACATATATATCCTTAATATTTTATTATTTATTAAGAAAAATTATTATTTTATTCAATTTTAGAAAAATAGTAATTTTTTTATTTTTTTACTCGAGCTTTACATTTTGAGCTCGTCGAGCTCGAGTTTCATAAATCTAGGTTGAAGTATGGCTTGATTAGACTAAAACTCTACTCGGCTCAACTCATTTGCACCCATAGACAGAGCCCTTTAGTCATTTAAAATAAATCTAAAAGAGGTGGTAGGACTTCTAGGACTTGATTTCTCTCCAGTGAATTCTCTCTTCATTTCTCACAATATACATTTTAATGCATGACATGTGTCTTAATTTATTATCAAGGATTAGAATTAGTTAAACTTAAAATGATCTTATTCTTTTCTAGTAAATGGAGGCACATGTCATCTATCCAAATGTACATTGTGGGAAATGGAGAGACAATTCACTGGAGAGGATCCAAATCCAAGACTTCTATAGCATGCGATGGGAGAGAGCCCATCCCGTTGCCGCTCTAGTCTACCTTGTATATAAGCATAGGGTCTAGGTCCTCACAATTTGTATTTTGTAAAATTTCGCACAAAGTTGACTTTAGTATAAATTAGTAGGATTTCAGTATGAATTAGGTTCAGTTTAATATAAATCAGGTGTAGTTCAGTGTATGGTAATTTGTTATTATTTGGTGTAAATCAGGTACACTTTGTTATAAATCGATTATTATCATTTAGTGTAAGATAAGGAGAATTTGGTATAAATTGAGACTAATTTGTTAATTTACTCCAACTTGTGCGAAATGGAACCTGTGAAACCCAATTTCCGTATATAAGAAGAAAGGAGGATATAGTTCTTTGCCTCCTTTCTTGTCACATGACTTTCTAATAGTTTCACAAGTGACATGATTCTAATATTTCTTACCCCTTGAATATCTTTTTTTTTTTTTGTCCCTTTGTTCATGCCAAGCTAAACAAGTTTGGCCCTTATGTTGTCCTTTCTGAGGCGAACGAGTTTTGTACCTATTATATAAGAAGATATGGGAGTTTACTGTATCACACCAATTTTTTAACACGTGGCACAACTCTCCTTTGAGAAACGTTGTGATTTTTTCCGCTTTTTTATTTTCTCACTTCTACCTTGATGGGTAAAGGCTGAAGATCTACTATATGGGTCAAGACCGAAGATTTTCACTAGAGGTCATTTTGTTTAATCATATGGACTTCTACTGCTTTTATGTACTATTGTCTAGTTTATAACTATAGTATCAAATTTTACAAATTAATGAAAAACTTTTAGTCCTTGGATATTGATTAATTATGTTTCATTAATAGCTCACCCAACACTTATATTTAAACAGCTCCTTTATATGACTGATTAATGTCTCTTTTCTTCTTGTGCTATAAATCATTTCTCAAAGTTGCATAGAAAATCAGCTTTCTTTCTTCCCAATTGTACTTAACTGTGCACTTGCTTTATTGCCTTCCTTCATTAACCTCAAGATTAGTGATGGATTTGATAGATTCTTTTTTACCTACTTCCCTTAATTATAATATGATTCTTCACTTTCGCTTAAGAGAAATTGGAGATTCAATTGACTACTTTTGATTTAATTACAATTAAAGCTATGTTGCTATTGAATTAGTAGTACATTCATAGTTTATTTACTCTCTCTCCATTTTTTTATATCATCATGTCACGTAATATAGGCTCAAAATTCTTTGTCCAAATCACAATAATTAGGAGCTAATTTATTTCTTATAAAATCCGTGGAGGGGGAGGTGGCCAATTTCATAGATGGAATTTTTCTTTATAGCAAAATTTAATTGTTTTGATACTTAATTTTTTTCCTATATTTCTATTTATTATATACCAAAAAAATATGTTGCTATATGTTCAATTAAGCTATTAGCGGACTCGGGCTGTGCAAGACACAGCCAAGGTACCTTTAGTTTTAAAAATACATGATACTAGTTTTGGTCAATGGCTTGTGACACTGACGGCCTTTACTAGTACTCCAGTGTATAGTAACCTGATCATAAAACAAATAAAAGTGTGATTGTACTTAGAGCTGTTAAGTTAATCAAGTAGCTCGAAAGCTCGTTAGAGCTCGGCTCGTTAAGGCTCGAGCTCGGCTCGTTAATTTTGGTTAACGAGTCGAGCTCGAGCTCGAAACATGCTCGTTTAGTTCTAGAAATGGAAAAAAAAAACACTTAATATGTAAAAGTCAGAACTTAACAATTGTATAAGCCAGTGACTTCAATTACCACTAGATTTATACGTTGCTTAACAAAATAAGCAAACCTCAACAAAGAGTGGTGGTATAGCAGATTAAGGGACTGTAAGCAGTGTGATAACCGCACATGAAACTTAGCTCTTAAATTCTAAATTAGCATACTTTAATCCATTAATTGTAGCATGATTCTTAATTTAGTCTTTAAACTTTAAATTCTGTCTCTAAGTTCTAAATTGAGACGCTTTAGTTGAATGTGCTTAACTGTATAAACAATCTATATGCCATTATTCAGAACTACAAGGTAAATGATAGTTGACACTCCAAAACTCATCCACCAGTCTTCCACTTTCTGTATTAAAATTGACCCTATCCTCATGTAACCAATCCGTATCTATGATTATATTGGCCAGAGTAATCTAGAAATATGGCTAAGTACGGTTTTAATGTGTCAACCGGTTGTAATATTTGTTACAAGATTTGGTTCGCAAATAAATATATGTTGCATGATTTGATAAAGAATAGGTGTATGAAAGCTTAGACGAAAATCTTGTCGCCGTAGGGGCTGTTTTCTCTTTTCCCTCAACCTTCTCTATCCCCTATCTCTCTACCCTTAACTTTCTCTCTACTCTTCTTCCTCCATAGGAGGAAGATCAACGGTGTTGGTCATTAATTGTTTAGATAGAACGGTTGTTTAGAAAATTCTATCTAATGCTTGTCGGATTTTTAAAAATTCTTCATAATACTTGTCGGATTCATCAAGGTCCCAAAACGAAACAGACTTTAGCTGAAAATGATGAAGGCAACATATTATTGGTACCTGTACTGAAAAGTTGATATTCAACTCCGTGACTTATATATTATTGATTTTTTTCAATACCTAACACAATCGACTCCTACTCTAACCTACTTTAGGAAGGAATGAGAAGTCCAAAAGGACCTAAAATGTTGATGGGGACTGAATAACCAGCAAATCGGATTAGATAGGTGCGTTACGCATCCGTATACATTTAGAAAAAATCACATATAATAGGAAGCCAAGATTTGAATCATTGACGTGCCACCCTATCAAAACTTAAAATCCTTGGTTGATTATATATTAGTGATTGATTTTTCCTTTTCTCCGTGACTATTAATCATTGGTTGATCCAGCTTCTATATGTTATCAGAATCATCCTTTACAAATTCGGCAAAAATCATGCTTAAACACCTTCTTTTTCCTTTTTTTTCCCGCGGGGTTTATGGTTGAGAATAAAAGGTCCCGTTTGTATTTTATTTTTTATAGTTTCTGTAGAAAAATATACCGTAATGATTTAATATATGTAAAATAAAAGGTGATTAAGACATATATTCATTAAAAATATGAGAAATTTTTAATAGAAAACTACAATTCAAACATCACCTAAGCCAGTCTGTTTTCCAACAATGTGACGTTTAAGACAACATATAATGAATCTCATCCTTCAATCTGATCAAGCTAGACAGGACGTGAGAGCAATCTTTTGTTGTGAGACTAATTAGTGTTTAAATATTCTATCTAGTAGTGGGTAGGGCTAAAAACTTTAATAGTAGAAAGATTGCGTTTTGAGGTGATTAAGAAGTATTATGGTTTGGTTCCTTTTTCATTCGTAGATTCAATGATGTTGAAAAAAGCAAACTCATCTTTGGAATTGGATGATGTAAGACTTTTTCCTCGCAGATGCACCCTCTTGATTAAGGCAATAATTTAGAGGAATTTCTTCTTTTATGCTTGAAGCATCTTCTCGAGTGGATAAGAAATAAAGAAATGAAAGTGGCTGAATAATTGTTAATGATATCTTATCACTAATTGGCATTAAAAAAAAAGGGTGATAAAGTATAATTGCAGGTAGGACACATTTTTTTATTATCTTTTTATTTTTTTTATTAAGTAGGTAAGATATGATTTAGATATTTCTTGGTCAAGAAAGCAACACCCAAAAAAAAAAAAAAAAAAAAAAGAAAAAGAGATGATGTATCACTTTACTTTTTTTTTTTCAAAATTTTCTAGTTTAAATGAGTCATCTTGATAAGCATCTGTCATGATCAAAGCGCAGTGGCTACTTCCTCCAAATTGCATCTTCTTGCTTCTTTTTTTTTTTCTTTTTTTTTTATAATTGTTACTTAATTATTTGCATTTACAAATCATCTTCTTGATTACTGAAGGAACTGAGACAAGAAACAAAGAAATGGGCTGTGACATTTTCATCCCATCAAGCCACTTCTTAATTATTATTATTATTATAGTAATTAAGACGAAAAATAAAGAAGTGAGGACAGCTTCTCATCGACTATCAGTTAATTATTCACTTAATCATTTATTTGTACCACAGCTATTGGATGCTTTTTGCTTGAATTCCCTTCACTTTGCTGCAATTTTAGTAACTCAAAAAATTCCATTTAATAGTACTACATTAAGATGAATCCATGATACTAATTTTCATCAATTAATGGCTTGTTTTAGATCGATGGCAAATGTGATACTAATTAGTTTTACTTCCTTTTTCACCGCTCTACCTATTTCCAACCCAACACAACATATAACCAAAGTACAAACCAACCCAAAACATCACCAAACATCCAAAACTTTAACGCTTATCCCTCAATCAAGAAATCACCACAATCACCCAAACTACCACATATATAAGGACCTCTACCAAAAGGTCCACTCGAAACCAAAGCTTAGCAGCTTAGCTTACATCTAAACCCAAAACCAAATCAAATCAAATAAAGAAAACTCAAAAGATGCAAGAGTTACCTTGATTAAGAGATAAAGGAAGATCTCCTAGCTCTTGCGAAGCACTTACTTGAGCTTGATTTCCCAAGTGTGATCGTTTGTGAGAGAATGAAAAGAACGAACAAAGCAAGGGTTTTTGCTAGGAGAAATGGAAGAAGAAAAGATCGAGAAAATTTCAATTCGGTAAAATCACGAATAATGATTTCCCGCTAACTCTTTTATACTCCCACCAAACTAATAAGAAAATTTCTTTCTTTCTTTTGCACTCCAAGCTTCAAGTTTCCATCACTTCCATGTAAGCCCCCCAAGTCCTCAAGTAGCAGTGACTAGTGGTAGGCAGTACTTGTTTTTTATGCTCTCTAGGAATAAAATTATTAACAGTAGAAAAGTGCTCTCCTTCACTCTCCTTCACCTTTGCTTGAGGCATCTTCTCGTGCAATTTAAAAATAAAGAAATGAAAGTGGTTGTCTGATTGCTCATTTTTTTCAAGGCCAAAAACCAAAAAAGAGAAAAAGTAGGGACTTATTGGAAACCGCTATAGAGGCCAAGAACAAAGAATAATAAAGTGTCCATCTACCAATGCGAGTGGACAGATTGGACGCCCCGCAACAACTTCCTCCAAATTGCATAATTTGCGTCTCTTTTTTTTTGAATTTGTTATTATTTGCACCAGAAAGCATCTTCTTGATTCCATCGATAAACAGTAATTAAGAAATGAAATAATGAAGTGAAAATGGCTAATGACATCTTCAGACCAATTTTTTAGTCAATTATTCGTGTGGAAATCGCTTGATTAATTAAGGCATTAATATAGAGGCAATGCTTTCTTCTCACGCACTTAAAGAATAAAGAAATGAAAGTGGTTGATCATTTTGTCATGTCATTAATTAGTCAATGAATAGCAATTTTAAGGCCTTGTTTGAAAAGGAATTTTTCATCAAAAATTTTTACGTTTTACATGAACACATTTTTCAAACATCTTTTTATCTTATATATATTAAATTGTTACAGTATATTTTTTACAAAAATTTCAAAAAGTTACAATACAAACACGATCTAAGAGTGCTAAGTGATAAACTTCAAGAGAAGTTTTTGATATTATCTCTAGGAACTACCGCAGACTCGTATGGCGTTAAATTTACCCCACTTTCAGCCCCAGAAAAATCATGATCATGGGGTCATGGAGGTGCTCCATAGCAAGAAATAAAGGTACAACGGTAGATTTGTTATTGTTTTTGGGGTCAGGAACCACATGACTTGAGCCACTCTCTTTCAGAAAACCATCTGCCACTGCACTAATGGCACATAATTCAGAACTAAGGCCTTAAGTTCCCCAAAGTTTTTCTTTGTTTATACACAAACAGGGTCTGCCAAACTCCCAATCATATCAGGTGTTATTTTTTTCTTTTCAAAAGTAAGTCAACAAACTAATGGGGAATAATACACAAATTCATGGTTTTCTGTTCCTACAACTTTCTTTTGATAACAATCCAACCTTCACAATTGCTTTGTAGGATTTGAAACATAGCCAGACAAAACATGCTGAAAAGCTAGCTTGAATCAAGAGGGCTAGGATTTAAAGAAGCATAATGGAGAAGCTCCTGATTTTTCTCCAGTGTAGCCATGTACTCTTCTTTCATGGTCACCAATGCTTCAATCCCATCACCAGATTTTGTTTCGATCAGATGAGCAATATTTCCCAATCCGTGTAAATCCCTGTTTCCACGCGCAATGCATGTCCATATGGGCTTTCCCCATCCAAAATCAGCCTCATAAAAACCAGTCTTGCGGATGCTGCTGATATAGATACATTCAGCCATACTATTAGGGTCATAGAACACTTCATGGAAATCTTTTAAGGCTCCCATCAGCTTCTGAATCCCATTCTCACCATTTATAGATTCAACAAAATCAGCGTTCATTGTACCAATGGAATTTGAGATCTTGTTTATCAGCAATTCCAGCTCTAGCTTAGAATTGTCACAACATTTAGCACGAGCCAACCAGACGATATTTCCCAGTGAATGAGGTGATAAAGGGGGCGAAACTTTTGTCCTCAGATTCACCGGGATAAACAAAACAGACCTCACTTTCCAAGCTGCTATGGCAGATTTCCATAGAAGTCCCATAACAGCCTTGGCTGAACTTGGTTTCGCGGAAGATGTTGATGTAGCTGCCTTGGATTTAAGCGCAGCCAAGGCTGAGCTATCGAACACAAATCTGCTTGTAGCATATTTAGGCTCGTTCTTTTGTGGTTTGGAGACCACAGGAGGTGAATCTTGGTACATATCCAAAATAGGAGGAAATAAGGAAGATGAAATAAAACTGGGATTTATTTGTACCGTTGATTCGCGTGCTGTAGCTGCCCAAGATTGCATAAATGTAGAAACTGAGAGACCATCAAAAATCTTGTGGGAAGCACTCAAGCAAATGGCAATACCACCACAGTAAAAAATGTTTACTTGAACCATGATAGGATAACTTTTTGACAATAATTCCGTGGAATCTGGATGAAATGGACATAGCTGATTCATGAACTCATTTTCAGGCTTCCTCAGAAAATCTAACAGTCCAATATTGGTTTGAGTTTCGACGTAGTAAACTCCATCATCATTACACTCAATATGCAAATTATTTTTTATTTTTCCTGCTAGTGGATAGAAGGGTACTAAGGTTTTTGATAGTGATTCCTTTAGACATCGACTTCTTTGGGAAATAACATCGTTGAGATAAGTGCCTTGTTGTTTTCTTGGGAAGAAAAAGAACAATATATTTGTATAAGAGTCCCGAGTAAGCTGATCCAAGATTGAAAACCTAAAAGTTCTCAACTCAGGGGGAGTTGGAGATGCTGGCTTGATTTCTTCCTTGGAGATAATTTCTATGCCCATATATGCAGTTTTCTGATCGACACTCAAATGAATGCTGCAGGGACATGTTTAGAAGAATTTTTAGCCATTACAAAAGAGGATAAAATTATCATAAAATTAAAATTTTAAATTTAATGGAAAAATAAACTTTATTGTTTGTTTTTCATAGTTAAGATCAGCTCGTCTGGGGCTGTTTAATTAGCAATTCTGCTTTTGAGTAATAAATTTCAAATTATAGTATTATACTAGTACGTTGTAGTAAATGAATTACTCCCCTATAAATTGAGAAAGTCTTAATTTTCCTGCCAATGACAATAAAAAGAAAGCAATATGAATAAGAGTATTATCAAATTCACGAATAATTATTGCTTTTGGACTAGAAAAACATAATTAGCTAGAGTTTCAATAACTTCACGTTATTGTGATGAATTTTTGGGACTTTTAGAACTATTCCATAATATCATAAACAAGAACAAAACTCAAAACATGAAATTTTTGCTATGTCATTACCGTGAAATGATGAAAGGTCCTCTCTACTAATTCTAGGGCAAAATTTACTTTTGAGCATACCAAAAAAGAAAATGTATATTTTCCTATCTACAATTACATGTATCTCGAAGATGAAGCCCTTTAATTCAAGAACTTCTCCTCATGGACCCTTTTCAAAAAATATTCCTATAATCACAGCCTAAAATTGACACTCATTTAGTTTTAGCAAAGGAGTTTCTTCTGTCCTTTCTAGTTATTTTTGTTTTCTTTTTCGTTTTCCCTATTTGTCTTTCCCCTTGTCTATAATAAAAAGAAATTGAAAAAACTTCCCTCCAATAGTCATGGACAACCAAAAAAAAAAGAAGAAGTCAATACTACGTATTCTAAAGAGTAATGAAGAAAGAAAGAAAGAAGTTTACATACATACCTTCTTGAGCCAGCAATGCCAGAACTTGGAAAAGTATAGACATGGCCATTACTCTGCCTGTTCATGAAATGTTCATTATACCCTTTCGATGCACATTTGCAGCCAAACAGCGCTGGTTTGGTAGTTCCTGCAGAACCATCAGCAATATGGTTTCTTCTCGGTTGGCGGGGCAACGAGAAGAGATGGCATTTTGATCCCAATAATAACTCCCTTCTTGTGGGAAATGCTATTCTTGAAATGAACCGCCTCATGATGGGAGTGTTAAGGTACTGATGAATGGTGACTGTATAGACAAAACTTTACCCTTCAAACTTTAGTTGTATATGATTGATACCACATGCAAATGTGTGATATCTATATCACAATGGGTCCATAACATTTGGAATTTATACTTATTGAGTCCCTTATAAACGATGCTGCATTTTGGCCCCCGAAGTTTTCAAATTACAAAAGTTTGGTCCCAATTTTCACTATTTGTTGGTAATTCCTTTGTGTATACGTAATAATCTGTGTTTGCGCCGGCAGAAATTATGAACTATGTACGCAACTTTGAATCTTCAAACGACAGGCGTGCTCTGTCTATGAACTTGGGAGGAAAGTTAGAATTACCGAATCATTTTAATCACGTCTTCTAGACTATTTAGTACATGGTGTGTTAATGACAGTTTCAATCAAACAGTAGTGTATGAAAAGAATTTTGAGTCAAAATTATTACTTCTTACGTCCTATGAAAATTGTGTTTTGCGATTTGTGCTTTTTTTTGCCCTTTCCCCCAGTGGCAGGAAGATAGTGGTCCAATACCATGATGATTTGGGTCCAAAGAAGGTTACCGCTTTAGATCTTGACACTACCGAGCTATTAGCGTAGGTTCAGTTATTGACCCTATAGCATTAAAATTTCAGCATATCAATTTAAAAATAAACATTTCAGCATAACTTAAAAATCATTCTTAGAAACAATATCTATAATTTGGTTTATGTAATTAAATAAAAAAGAAAAGCACTCGCTTAATGTATAAATCATTCTCATAAACAATTCTCATATTAGTTAGTACATAATTAAACAAATTTTAAAAAATCTAAAGAAAATTGGTCAGCGGTTTTCGGTTTTCAAATTTCCCCTCTTTTTTTTTTTTTAAAGGTTTGCAAAATGCAGCTACCAAGGTTCAAACTCAAGACTTTTATAATAGAAAACCAATGTAGAAACCATCATACAATCACATCTTATTAGTCTTTTTTGATAACTTATTTATATAAAACAAACATCCATCTTTCTTTTCTCCATTTTTCTTATAAAATTTCATTCTCTTATGACTCTTTCTTTTTAATCTGCAACTCTCTCTCTCTCTCTATCTCTCTCTCTCCTCTTTTCTTTTGTCACTTCTTTTTTAATCAAACCTCTTTAGTTTTAATTTATTGATGTTTTTTTTCATCTTTTAATTTTGTTTTTTGTCCATAAATTGAAAAAAG